TCCCATCCCAGGCGGCAGACTTCTACGACACAGGTATTCAAAAGTTGGTCCCACGGTATGACCAATGTCTCAATTCCGGTGGCGAATATGTTGAAAAATAGCTGGACACTTGCTGTATCTGTTGCAATAAATATTTCCATGAAATTGTGTTTTGTTTCTGTAAACGGCCCCAGGGAAACTTACTTTGAGGACGCACCTCGTATTTCATTATATAGGCATTAGAATTGAGATAAATATCCTAACGTGGGTCAATTCCTGTAATGGTCTAAAACCATTCACCATTTTCAAGTGGTTCAACGTCACCGATGGCTTCCGAATCCCAGTCTCCATCCTTCTCTGCCCATCCACTGTCCTTCGTCCAGTTCTCTCTTTGCCATTGATTTCTGGGTTACTTTCATCTGCCCCTCGGTTTCCTCGTAGCCCTCCTTCCTGGTGACATCCAGTCGAGCAGTTTTAGTCATCTGTTATTTGCTATTTTTACACGTGTTCCTTGACGTAATGATTGTTTTGTGTTCATCATGCAAAATGCAAGTTTTTTAAATCCACCTTTACTCAAATTACGTGACTTTGAATTTTGTTTTTCCTTCATATTCTTGCCAATCCTTTACTTTTGCGCAACACGTGTACATTCGCACTGCATTCCATTTGGTGCAATCAAAGAGGCGAAGTTCAGGTCCCGTAACCCTGTTTCTGTCCGTATTTTACTTCGTCGGAAGACTGAAGGCCATCACTTATTCCTTGCAACCCAGTCCCGCAGACCAATTACAAATTCCGCCAATAGGATCAAATGATAATTGTCTGGGGCAAGTATACTCCCAGCCCAGAAGTTCGCCATTTTCCATCTTGGCACACGAGATAAATTTCTTGCAAGAGAAAGGGTGTGGGAAATTCCCGCGGTCTAGGCATTCGATATAACCATCGGAGTGAATCTTAACTTTCCCTGAAATCGGCGCCACGTCTAGGATTCCGACGTCATCGTCATCGTAGTACTCGTAATCTATGACAGGCGTTGGTTTGGGTCTTGCGTTGCTGGTACGTGCGCTGGTCGCTGGAGCGGCAGCAGCAGATGGCGTCGTCTTCGAGAACGGACGTGGCCTGGCGGAGACGCTGTCCGGTAGGCGCCTGGGGGACGCTGACCCAGATGACGATGGAAGGGATTGCTCGCCGGGGAACACTTTAGATGCTCGACGAGGGGGTGGAGAAGATGTGGCCGGTGTTGAACTACTTGTTGATGAAAATCTTGGCGTCGTAGAGATTGTACCTGAATAGAATAAAGAAGGTTTTGCTGTGTGAAATTCCTTGTCAGATACATGATTTTAGGTTTTCACAGCGGTGAGTATGAAGATTTCTGTCTTCTGGGTTGTTGCGC